GGTTCTCGGTACCAATTTCGTTACCAAAGCAAAATAAAAACACATGCTAATTAAAAAATTTGACTATACTTTTATTTAATCCAAACTGTGTAGCCTACATATTTAATTTTAAAGGGCTTGTGAAAACCTTCTAGAGTTATTCAGCCAATAATAACAACTAAGTGAGCTAAAAGAAAAAAAACTGATCTGACTGATATGACACAAACAATGTTAACCATTTGTACATTCTCTAACACGCATATTTTAGATTCACAATTCATTTAAAAGCCTCTGGTGTGTAAAAATAGTAAATATCATCATGTCCTTCTTTTTTAATAAAAGTTATAGGAACATTAAATAGTTAATAAAGAAACTTCATACTACTGCTCATTATATTAGCGTTATTATAGATTATATTAGCATTATGCTAACTATTAACTACTCTAACAGCGTTCATTTCAATCCGACATTCAGATTAAAATATTGAATAATGTTCATAACAGAAGCGGTGTTTCCCACAGACTTGCAGTCTATTTGTGGCAGCATATATGCAAATTCATTCTCTGCCAGCAGGAGGCGCTTGTAAAGCGGGAGAGATAGAGGTTTCCCCAGTAACGGCTGTAATCAAATAAGCACTGCACTCACAAACACTGCTCAGGCATTACAGGCAAAATGAAATGAAAATGACGTCCATCATTTTCTGAAGACAGTCGGTTTCCTTCAAAAACACAGTGATATAAAAACACCCGCACCTGGTTTTGACTTTGACACGTGCAGTGCTCATGTTTATTCAACGAGGTCCAAGCCTTTTGGAAAATCTATTTGTGGCGGTCAATTTTGATATTGTGGTGGGCCGCCACAAATAAATCAAAGGATGGGAAACACTGAAGATCTAAATATAAAAAATTAAAATGACACGTATCTGCTTGAACTCTTTCATTTGTTCCGGGTGTCTGTCTTTAAAGTGTTTTGTTAGTTTGGTGTGTTTCCTCAAATTCTCAAATGTAATGTTTTCTTTGGGATTTCTGCACTTACAGGGAATATCTAGAGAACATTGGCCTTGTTGATTCTGGTGTCGCTGAATTTGTCAGTGTGATGGACGACTTTTATGGGCATGATGGAAAAACGGCTTATATTTTTACTTCTGACCATGGCATGACAAATTGGGGTAAAATATCTCTGACCTAGTTTTTATAACTTTAAAATACTGTGACAGGAAACTTTGTTTAATAAATGACTTTTATCCCTCTGGATGAAGCCAATCTTTTAAGAATAAAATAACATCACCTGATTTATATTACAGTTCAAGTCAGCATTACAAAATAACATTTCGTGTAGAATAGGTAATTTATCACTTATAAATCTGTACGGGTATATGTTTTATAGGATCTCATGGTGCGGGACACCCATCAGAGACGCTGACCCCACTGGTAGCATGGGGCGCTGGGGTTCAGACAGCACAACGGGAGGGCTCTCACAAATATGATGATAATTATTTAAAAGGTTTGTTTAATGCCCCTTATTGATCTCACACCACTTTATCTCCATATGTAAACCTAATTACATCATGGAATTGATTATGTCAATATTTCTTTAACCCTACTTACATTTCAGAATGGGGGTTAGAAACATCCATGAGAGTGGATGTCAATCAGGTGAGATTTTACTCCCGTTTACATACGAAATGTCTATAAATATCAGGAACATAGCTGATCTGATCTTTTTATACTATTGCAGGCTGATATTGCTCCTCTAATGTCATCTCTTATAGGAGTTCCCTTTCCTGTGAACTCTGTGGTGAGCATGATTTTCAGAGCTTTCAGATCACAAGTTTATATCACAGAGCAGCACACTTCTATACAGACATATATGCACTTGTTAAATTATTTTCTGATGCAATTGTTGCATTACAGGGCGTCTTACCTCTGAATTACCTGAATAACAGCCAGCACTTTAAGGCTGAGAGCATATATGCAAATGCAATTCAGATCTTGGAGCAATTTAGGGTAAAGTACAGTACATTTTGGCCCATTCTGTCCGTTTTAATTAGAAATAACCAGCAATCTTTTTTTCGTTTATTAAATCAACAGGTGAAAATGGCACAGAAAAAAGAAACAACAATATCCTTTCTGTTTACACCCTACCAGTGAGTAAAAGTCATAATTAACCTAAAAATAAACATTCAGTCATCATTTGCTCACTGTTGTGTCTTTTCAAACCTGTATGACCTACTTTCCTCCTTGGAAAAGATGAATTTTTGAATTTAGTTTTTTGCCAGGCAGTGTTCTGAAGGTGTTGGTATACAGCTCAAGTTGTAAGATTGTCTTTTTTACTTCTAGGCCTCTGAGTGACTCTAAACAGATGGATTTTATGCGTAATGCAAGAAATTTGATCCAGAAAGGACAGTTTGATGAAGCAGTGAGTGTTGATTGGTTGTTGTCATGACCAAACTGACTTGTTGATTATCTTTATCTTGTCTTGCCATGTCTTTCTCTTGTCTTTTTCTCCAGATCCGTTATTGTGAAGATCTGATAGTCCAGGCCATGGAGGGCTTGTCATATTATCACACTTATGACCGACTCTTCCTTGGCAGCAGTGTGGTTCTGGGTTTTATTGGTTGGACCTCTTATGTGGTTTTGTTCATCCTGAAGACACATGCTAGCCTACGCAAACCTCCAACTAACATGCACATGGTAAGCGGGGGATGTTGTAGTCCAGTGTGCAGCATGTTTGTAAGTCATGGTCATTGTCACTAATATTAAGGTTGTGATTTATTGGTAAAAAAAACATAGGTTAAAATAAATGTCATATCCTGTATCTGTTTGTATCGAATATTGAGGTTAGTGGCTTATTGGTAAAAAAAACATAGGTTAAAATAAATGTCATATCTTGTATCTGTTTGTATCGAATATTGAGGTTAGTGGCTTATTGGTAAAAAAAACATAGGTTCAAATAAATGTCATATCCTGTACCTGTTTGTATTGAATATTGAGGTTAGTGGCTTATTAGTAAAAAAAAACATAGGTTATGGACGACTTTTATGGGCATGATGGAAAAACGGCTTACATTTTTACTTCTGACCATGGCATGACAAATTGGGGTAAAATATCTCTGACCTAGTTTTTATAACTTTAAAACTTTAAAATACTGTGACAGGAAACTTTGTTTAATAAATGACTTTTATCCCTCTGAATGAAGCCAATCTTTTAAGAATAAAATAACATCACCTGATTTATATTACAGTTCAAGTCAGCATTACAAAATAACATTTCGTGTAGAATAGGTAATTTATCACTTATAAATCTGTTCAGTGCATTATACGGGTATATGTTTTATAGGATCTCATGGTGCGGGACACCCATCAGAGACGCTGACCCCACTGGTAGCATGGGGCGCTGGGGTTCAGACAGCACAACGGGAGGGCTCTCACAAATATGATGATAATTATTTAAAAGGTTTGTTTAATGCCCCTTATTGATCTCACACCACTTTATCTCCATATGTAAACCTAATTACATCATGGAATTGATTATGTCAATATTTCTTTAACCCTACTTACATTTCAGAATGGGGGTTGGAAACATCCATGAGAGTGGATGTCAATCAGGTGAGATTTTACTCCCGTTTACATACGAAATGTCCATGGTAAGCGGGGGATGTTGTAGTCCAGTGTGCAGCATGTTTGTAAGTCATGGTCATTGTCACTAATATTAAGGTTGTGATTTATTGGTAAAAAAAACATAGGTTAAAATAAATGTCATATCCTGTATCTGTTTGTATCGAATATTGAGGTTAGTGGCTTATTGGTAAACGTGCAGCATGTTTGTAAGTCATGGTCATTGTCACTAATATTAAGGTTGTGGTTTATTGGTAAAAAAAACATAGGTTAAAATAAATGTCATATCCTGTATCTGTTTGTATCGAATATTGAGGTTAGTGGCTTATTGGTAAAAAAAACATAGGTTCAAATAAATGTCATATCCTGTACCTGTTTGTATTGAATATTGAGGTTAGTGGCTTATTAGTAAAAAAAAACATAGGTTCAAATAAATGTCATATCCTGTACCTGTTTGTATTGAATATTGAGGTTAGTGGCTTATTGGTAAAAAAAACATAGGTTCAAATAAATGTCATATCCTGTATCTGTTTGTATCTGTTCCATTTAAGGTAACAGAAAGGAGTCTGGGCCAGATGTTTCTGTGTATAGGTCTGCTTGTGGCTCTGTTCTTGATGGTCCAGTCCAGTCCTTGGACCTACTACATCTACTGCTTGCTCCCTGTGCCCGTGTGGTTTTCCGTCATGAGGGAGTAAGTTACTCATCCCTGTTTTTATGAAAATATTATTTTGAGATTTTCTAAAGATTACATTTAACAGTTTTATTAAATTCACTTTTTAACTTTTAATTGATTAATACATGATGGCAAAGGTACTTAAATGTAACAGTATAGGAGAAATGAGTAAGCACAATTAAATATCCAATATTCATTGATATATGTCCATTATATACCAATAAATTAAAAATGTTGTCCAAAAACCATTGTCATTCTGATATATTGTGCATCTATAATGTTAATTAATAAATGTTGATTAACTACACAGCCCCAACAATGTGCAAAATTATTCACATGACCAAGGATGAATAGGAAAATAGATGCATTTCACAAAAATGCTTCCATAAATCCATATTTGTTAATCATATTCAAATGTATTAATAAATTTACATTTAATAATTTAGCAGACACTTTTATCCAAAGTGACTTATAAATGAGGACAATAGAAGCAATCAAACCAACAAAAGAGCAACAATATATAAGTGCTTTGACCCGTCTAACGCAGTACACGTAGCAAGGTTTTTTTAATAATAAATAAAGAGAATAAAAAGTTGAAAAGAAATAGAATAGATAGTGCTAGTGTTAGAGGGTCAAGGTTTATTTTTTGTTGTTTTGAAATAAAAAGAACAAGTAGATAGAATAGATATAGAATAGAGAATGCTAGGGTTAGAGGGTCATGTTTTTATAATAAATAAAATAAGATACGCAGATATAATAGAAATGGAGAGTGCTAGTGTTAGAGGGTCAAGTTTTTTTTATAATAAATAAAAAGAAAAGAAATAGAAATGGAATAGAGAGTTCTAGTGATAGAGGTTCAAATGTAGATGGAAGAGATGAGTCTTTAGCAGTTTCTTGAAGATGACTAAATACTCAGCTGTTCAAATTGAGCTGGGCAGGTCATTCCACCAGCAGGGAACAGTTAAACTCAATGAAAGTGATTTTGCGAGATGGCACTGTAATGCGCTGTTCATTTGCAGAACGCAAGCTTCTGGAGGACACATAAGTCATAAATATTATAAACATTATACCAGGGCTGTTTTTCCCCCTTGGAGAGTTTTGGAGTTTGTGTGTTTTCTCTCTGTCACAGATTTGAAACTCTTGCCAGTCTGGTTCGATCAGTCCCATCATTACCACTCAGCAAATGCTTTGGATATTTTTTGCTGGTTACGTTTGGAATTGAGTTACTAGTAAGTGCTCGATTAGCTGAATTCTGTTGTCCTATTTAAGTGTTAGAACTGTTTAGCACTTAGTAGTAATTAGAGGTGTTAACTATTTAACTTCTTTCATTTCCTCTTTGCTGGTGTTTATTAGGTTGTGAGTTTTTTCTATCGGGCCATGTTGACCTTGGGGCTGGTGGTGCTGGCACTGTGGCCTATGGTTTCTGGCCTTTACACAAAAGCAAAGGTAAGGTGACCTTCTCAAGGCCTGTTCTGGTTTGAGGTCTTAAAGGAGTGTTTTTTTAAGACTTGTTTTTGCCTTTTTATACTACTGTAGTTCAGGTCATTAAGCTGGATGTTGAGCTGTCTCTTTCTGGCTGTGTTTCCACTGTTGCCTGTGGTGGGACGGGAACCAGACGTTAACTATGTGTGAGCACTCTTTGTTCACTTACTGATGCCTAATCCTGTTACACACACAATAATTTGTTCATTTTCTTCTTTTAACCTGTTAAACACATTTATACTCTGTTTAGTGATGCTGAATGGTGTCAGGAAGGTTTATCTTCTAAATTTAACATGTTTTATTGTAGAATTTGTGCTGGAGTGCTGACCCTCTTCAACTCGTCCTCATACCTCTGGTCATCATGGAGCTGCTCTCCTCTGATCCGAAGGGATCGTCAGCTGTTCATCTGCCAGGTCATTTTTGACTCTTTCTTTTTGTCCTTTTTCACTCTCCTAGGACATTTTCACCATAAACATTTTGGTGCAGACATTTGAGGTCAGATTCTGGCTCCGAACAGCATCTGAACGTTAGATTCCCAAACGTTTTTCTCAACCAAATCCCTTTAATGTAAACTATTTACTTGACATACCCCCTGAGATTTTAGGTGAAATTTTTTAATATTTTAACAACACATTTGCATGTCTGTGGTTCTTTGATTTCGGTTAATGGTCACACGACATGCAGTTTTAGTAAGGGTTTCATTTTGATTGTTTTTAAATTATTTACTTATTTTTATGATTTTATTTATTATTATTACACTGCAGTTCCCTAATGAACCCCCCTAGGTGCCTGCAAATTCCATTTGGGAAACCCTGTGTTTAAAAACAGTGATCCAGGATATAGTTCTGTAAAGAGTAGTTTCAGGCAAGCTAGAGAAGGACACAACATGAAAACCAGGTAATTAAGGCAAATTACTCTAAACTTAAAAACATGTAAAAGTAGGTGCACAGAACAAAAGTCAGGGAGACTTAGATGTACACTAAGAAGTAATGACCAAAATGCAACTGGGAAACAGATAGAGTAATAGGTTAATAAGAATGTCAAAATAATGCCATTCAAATCCCAAAAGCCCATGGAAATTAAAACAAAAGATCCTCCGTAACATTAGAGGTTCATATGGTCTCCATATTTGTCTGTTATAGTATACACTGCATTTCCTGTTGCTGATTATCTCTGGTGAAATTGTATGAAATCTCTCTTGCAGCAGACAGAAACAGGCAAAAATACATTCCTGTTACTCTACTGTAAAGTATTTCAGAATCTAATTATTTTAACACATTTTAAATAGTGGATACAACATCTAGTTTTGATCTCTAGTGGGCTATTCCTTTCACACTTGCATTTAGCCTAAGCATAGGCCACTGTGAGATTGGAAATGTATTTTCTTGCCCCTGAAATACATTTTGAAATATGAAAGTAGAACCTTTATATAAATAAATGTATTTAATTTCAAAAATATATTTCATTGAGGTTCACTACAACATATATATAGCATATATTTACATTTAGTCATTTAGCAGACACTTTTATCCAAAGCGACTTACAAATGAGGACAATGGAAGCAATCAGAATCAACAAAAGAGCAATGATATACAAGAGCTAAAACAAGTCTCAGTTAGCTTAACGCAGTACACGTAGCAAGGTTTTTAAAAAAAATAATATAATAAATAAAAAGAAAGATTAGAAAGCAAGTGTTAGTTTAAAAAAACCAAGCAGCAAATGAATAGAGCGCAAGTCTAAAAGGGACAAGTGTTTTTTTTTTTTTTTTTTAAAGAGTAGAATTAGAATATAGAGTACTAAAAATAGAAAATATATTTTGACCAGATATTTTATTTATTCATTAATTTATTACTGTATGGGCTAAATCGGGACTACATCTAAATGTATCCTACTTAAAAATAATCTGAGAATCTTATTTGTGTGCATTTGTTTCCAGATGATGCAGGTGGTGCTGTGTGCTTACATCCTGACCAGCACACACTCCAGTCTGCAGCTGAAGCAAGGCTTGCCACTCTTCAACCAGCTTGTTAGCTGGCTCACACTAGGTTTGCCATCTCCATTCCCATGATGCTCTGTTACCAATACACACTGTATTAAAGGGATAGTTCACCCATAAAATTCTGTCATTGTTTACTCACCCTCATGTCATTCCAAATCTGTATGATTTTCTGTCTGCTGTGGAACACTAAAGAAGATCTTTAGAGAAAAGTCTCAGTGTCTTTTTTCCACGAAAGTCAAAAGGGTCCAGTGTTATTTTGAAAGTTGGAACCCCAAAATATTTTCTTTTGTGCAGAAAAAAGTCATAAAGATCTGAAATGACATGAGTATATGGTGTGATGAACCCTTGATGCATGACTTTTAACCAGTGAACTGCACTTCTTCTTTTCTTCCATCCTGTTCATACTCTTTCCCCTGTTCTCTCACACTGTTTTTTTTCTTTTAGTTTCCTCATTTTTGATACCGTTGTTGAGTTCCACCAGGCTCTTTCGCAGACTTCTGAGTATCCTGATGTCCTTAGTTTGTGTCTACCTCCTCCTGAGCACAGGGTAAAAGCCACTGACCATTGATCTAATCATGCTATGCTATGCTATGTCCACGCTATGCTTAACAGTAATCCAGCATGTTAGTTTAGACAAATTCTCCTCTTGAGGTTGCCTGTCTAAGGAAATGGAATTCAAAAACAAACCACATAGTGCTTACAGTAAGCAAATAAGTTGTAAAAGTTTTCAGTTCAGCTGCTGACCGGTTTGAGACAGTTTCAGTTATACAGACAATATTCTAATTAATAATTACTTAAGAATTAAATAATACACTACCGTTCAAAAGTTTGGGGCTGGTTATTTTTTAAGGAAGTCTTATATTCCCACCAAAGCTGCTTTTATGTGATCAAAAATGCAGTAAAATGTTAATAATAAGAAATTTTATTACAGTTTTAAAAAACGTTTCTATCTAAATATATTTTAAAATGTAATGTATTCCTGTGATGGCAAAGGCTGAATTTTCAGCAGCTATTACTCCATTCTTCCGATAAATCTGATTTGGTGCTCAAGTGTATATTCTTAAAATATTAATCAAGTCACATGATGTTCTGATTAATCAAATTAATTACAAATTATTTTTTTAAGATGTTATTCTTATTGAGATTTATTCTAAATTGAAATATAATTTATTCAAAATTAATATTTTAAATGAAAGTTATTCTAATAGATGTTTGGTTTGTAAATTGTGAAGGTATGAGGCTCTGTTTCCTCCGGTGTTGTCATGGCTCATGTTTGCATGGATAAACATTGAGCAGGAAACCATGAACACGCAAGGGAGTTCAAATCGGACTGAGGTAGGTCCCCTCCTCCTCTAGGCTTATTCTTTAGGGGCTTCCCTTCAGCCTCTGTAAAAAATAAATAAATAAAAGTCTCAAAATGAGGTTGAAGGTGTATAGCATTGTGTAAAGTTTATGTATCAAAGTAACAGTAGACAGACCATTGATTGTACCGTTTTCCTGTTTTCTCAGCTCTCCAGCACTGATTTTGCTGAAAACATTGACATTACCAAGATCAGGCAGCTGAGGCTGGATGACATTCGGAGATCTTACTTCTTTGCATCCTTTTGGACTACAGACTGTTTGATTTGTGTCTTTTGATTATTGAAAAATGCTTACACTATTTAAAATAATATAGTTCCTTAACTGTTGGAATAGGTGTTTTTCATTATAATTGCATTCTTTGGTTGTGGTAACATTGCCTCTATTAATAGGTAAGCTGCTTGTTTTTAAAGAAAAATATTGCTTAAAAATATAAATTAATTGTGCCTTTATCTTCCCTCACAGTTTTGATCCAGCCTCAGTTTACTGCTTTCTGACCGTCTTCAATCCTTTCATCATGGGTGGCATGTTGATGTGGAAGGTATAGCGCTTGCTCAACATAAAGTTTCAGATTGACGCTCTTTTTTTTTTTTTTAAATGAGTGCCATGGGTGCCACAGGTATTTGTGCTATTATGCTTCTTTTAACGGTTGCATCCTTTTTCAGGTGTTAATTCCATTTGTAATTGTGATGTGCACATTCGAAAGCATTCAAGTGTCAACACAGCTCTCATCACGAAGGTAATTAGCAGAATACTTAGAACAGCAGGAAACCAGCTGGTCTTTCTCTTTTTGCCCACATTGTTTGCAGACTGACCACTTCTTCAAGCATTTGCTATATTTATGCTCAAGCGCTTCACAGACACTTCCTTGTTGACTGCAAACAACTGGGCTTTGGTACTTGTTAAAAACAACAACAACAAAAAAACGTCCAAACAAGGATATGTTCCTGCTCAGGCAGAACAAAATATTTTTTTTGTATATTAGATTGCTTTATGACATTGTTTTTGCATAAGTTTACATAAATTCTGCATTTATTTTCTAGCCTTTTCCTCGTTGTGCTTGTCATCTCAGACTTGATGGCATTGGTAAGGTTACCGTCCAAACAAGGATATGTTCCTGCTCAGGCAGAACAAAATATTTTTTTGTATATTAGATTGCTTTATGACATTGTTTTTGCATAAGTTTACATAAATTCTGCATTTATTTTCTAGCCTTTTCCTCGTTGTGCTTGTCATCTCAGACTTGATGGCATTGGTAAGGTTAGCATAGAGAACATGACAAATAATGGCAAAATTAAATTGCATAAAAGTTGCTTTTTTTGTTTTGTTTTTTACTAATTATCCTAACTTATCTCTGTTCTTTTTCACCAGCACTTCTTTTTCTTAGTAAAAGATCATGGAAGCTGGCTTGACATAGGCACTAGGTGGGTTAACTGTATTGTACTTCTTGTTTTAGCTTCCATCCTTTTTAACCAAACTGACCACAAGCTCAGTTTGGTTTGTGTTCGTTTTTGTACATGTGTAAATGCACAAATATGATCAGATGTTTCTTCTGTGTTGCAGTATTAGTCACTATGTCATCGTAATGTCCATGACCATCTTCCTCATGTTGCTGAGCGTCATGACGCACTTTTTAACCTCCAAGAGAATCCTCATTGGACGGAAACGAAAGATGCACTTTAGGTGACAACCTAGTACCAGGACCTTCCTCCTAATGCTTACAAGGTGCAAAAAACAAGCATTCAATAGTACAATAATATGACTGATGTTAAGAGTGGGGTCTTCCTGTTTCTGGGTATTTCTTAACATCATTGTTACTTAACACTTATGACTCTGCATCTTATAATAGGAAGACTCTGTATGGTATAACTAATAAATAAAGTGATCTGCTGTTAATACATACAGCGGATTTACAGGTATTTTAGTTCTGGGACTTAAGGGGAAAAAAGGCCACGAGACTGATTTTGGTTCAAGGGAAAGTACTTGATTATGTCTCTGTATATGTACTGTATGATTTATACATAAGGTGAGGAATGTTACTGTACTTATTTCAGCTGATTTTAACTGGGATGTAATTCTCAGATGGTAAATGTGTAGTTTTATAATACTGTGTTTTAATATTATGTAAATATATAAAATTATTTATTTACAATAAACATTTAAATTTAGTGTCATGCCTTTAATAATAATAATGGAAAAAAACAACAACACTGATCTTGATCTTTGTCGGCACATTACCAAATGACGGTGCAAATAAAATACACAGCACATACACAACTGGTCAAAAAATTGGAGTCCATAAGATTTTGTTTTGTGGGGGAAAGAAATTAATACTTTTATACTGCAAGGTTTCAATTTTGTTATTAGAAATTGATAACAGTAAGAAATGTTTTTTGAGAAGCAAGGATCACGTGACTGAAGACTGGAGTAATGGCTGCTGAAAATTCAGCTTTGCCATCCCAGGAATGAATTACATATTAAAATGTATTCAAATCTAAAAGTTATTTTCAATTGTAATAATATTTCCCAATATTTTAATAAATGCAGCCGTGGTGAGCATAAGCGACTAAAAAATATTACTTACTCCTAACTTTTAAATGGTAGTGTAGCTAAAACGGTCATAAATAGCATTGACATATGCATTTAATTATATAACATTTTATCCCGACTATTTTATGTATTTTTTAAATATATGTAAATGTTATTATAGTCTGTTCAGAAACACATTAGTTTAATTCACATTATCAATGTCCATTAAAAACTTAATCACATCCCCCCTGCAGCTGTGACAAGCACACAGGGGAAAACCACAAACCATGTCAGCTTAAGACTAGACACTATTGAGTGCCATTAATATTTTAATGATACCCGTAGTGTCTACCAACAGAGAATTCTAAGAGGCACTATACAATACATTCAGACTCCTCCATGTAGAGAACAGAAATGCCAGATGGCTGTGATCTTGCAGTATTTCTATCATAACTGGAATCTGAAGGTTTGTTTGAGGTTGTTTGGCAGGTGACTCTCATTGTTTTTGAGGTTGGCCACCTAAACTGAAGTGTCAAATGCAACAACGTGAAGCAGGAAAACAAACAGCAGACTGGCTGCCTCATCGAGAGAATGTGTTAAAACAGTGGTTACGGAATGAGTGAGGAGCAGATGCAACAAACATTACTTCCTCATCTGCTCTGCCATTGTGGACTTCTGTGTTGCCGTTCTGAGGGTACGTATCTTGCTTTATTGTCTCCTTAGGCTGTTAATTTTGACCAAGTAAACAAATTTTAACATTTTAAGTGCACTGTGTTGAAAAAGATAGTTGAAATGTCTTGCTTTCGTCTGATTTTTTGAAGGGATTCATGTACACAAAGTAGTTTGTAGCTTGTTTGGCACTTTCAAAAGAGCTACAGAGATGCATGAAGTACTTTAAAGGAGTGCAAAAAGGATTTATAAAATACATTTACTTATACATTGGCTTTTTATTGGTCTGTTTCTACAGAGCTACACTATAGTAAAACTGTTACCTATACTCAAACTGTAAACTTATATAGCTGGTAACAGTCTACAATAAGGTTCATTAGTTCATGCTGTATTATACATTTGTATTAATATTTAATTTTTGTTAACTTTAGATTCATTGTTGGTTCAACAGGTCAAGTTACATAATATTAACAGATACAGCTTTGATTTTAATAATGTATTAGTAAATGTTGAAATTAACATTAACTAGGATTTATAAATAGTTTATACGCGTTTTCATTATTCATTCATGCTATCTGATGAAGGTAACTAATGTTAACAGATGAAACCTTTCTGTAAAGTGTAACAGAATAGAACATTTCGTCGATATTTACTCACCCTCGTGTCGTTCCAAATCTGTTCAACTTTTTTTCCCTCCCTGTGGAACAAAAATATTTTAAGTGTTTTTTTTCTTCACACAGTGGAAGTCAATGGAAAATAAAACTCTTTGGTTAACATTCTTGAAAATATATTTTGTGATATTACAAAAAGAAAGTTTTACAGGTTTGGAACGACATGAGGGTGAGTAAATTATTACAGAAGTCCAATTTTAACTATCCTTTTAAGCTTAAATTAATTTTAAAACTTTTTGAATGACTGCTTATGAATAAAATTCCGTTAAATCTCTAAGTAGAGAGTTTAACTAAAAGAAAAACAATGCAGATGCATTTTGAATCTGTTAAATAACTTTCTCACGCTTTCTCACTAGGAACCATGACGATGAACACCACAGTGGACAACATCACCAGCACACCAGTGACAACCAACACAACTCCAACAGCCCCCCCGGCCCACCTCACCAAGCCCTACAGAGTCGCCCTGATTATTATCTACACTGTAGTCCTTCTGGTGGGCATCACAGGCTTAATCGTCATGATCAGCCTGCTAAAAACCAACATTCGCTCGTTAACCACCATCGCCTTCCTGAACTTGATGGTCGCACACTTTCTGTTCCTGCTCACCGTGCCATTCAGAATCTACTATTACGCGTCCAAAACATGGCAGCTGGGTCCGGGATTCTGTAAACTGGTCAGCGCCATGGTGCATATCCACATATACATGGTGTTCACCATCTACTCCATTCTTCTCACGGTTCGCTTCCTGCATTTTTACAAGAAAACGCAGCGGACTGAGTTCTACAGGCGGCTGCACGCGCTGGGCGCGAGCGCTCTAGTGTGGTGCATCCTGTTGATCATCATGCTGCCCCTCGTGCTGTTACAATACGGACACAAAGCCATACCAAAACACCAGTGCTTCAAATTTGGGGATGAATTAGAGGAGAACAATGTCTACGCCCTGAACATGGTTCTGTCCATCCTTATTATCACCGTGTCGTGTTTTCAGACCTGCATCCAGGTGGTCATCCTACGCCAGATGATACTCAAGTACGGAGCCGCCAGCGGCTCCCAGCAGGAGTTTTGGGTCCAAATAAAAAACCTCAGCTTTGTACTCATCTTGCTCACTTGCCTGGTACCTTACCACCTTTTTCGGCTACAATACCTGAAGAACAATAGAGACCTTCATCAGATCAATGAAGTGTTTCTGGCCATCACCGGGCTTACGTGTTTCGACATGCTGACGTTCACAGGGAAGAGCATATGTAAAGTGTGCTGGACATAAAGCGGATAACAACTACATATATAGACGCTATTTTCCGCATCACTAAAGGTCTGCAGATGTGAAGCTGCAAACCGTTTTAACAGAAAACGAGTGTTATAATTATAATACGGTAAAGACAGTAAAGATGAATGAACATCAGTCTTAGCAAAATGTAGCCTATACCATGTTAGCTGTAATTTGTGCCAAAATAGTGATTAATACAATCATCGGTGACTGAAAGCTTTTTACATTGTTTGAAAAGCAGACCTGTTTGTTTAAAAAATTTTTTATCATGTAATTTCTTGTACCATGACAAATACCATATAGCATGGTAGGCTAGGCCTATCTAGTAAAGTAACAGTAGCAATGCTATCATTCGATAGTAGTGATAATGATGTGTTGGTTATGCTGGTATTCTTTTTTTTTGTTTGTTTTTGTTTGTTTTTTTGCTTTATTAATTCAATGCCACAAGAACATGAGGTATTACATATTCATTATGCTGGTATTCAAGTCTTTGTGTGTTCACACCAAACGCAAATTTAATTATTCGCGCAAGTAGAATACATACAAAGTTAATGCAAAGACGCGAATAGAGGCGAATTCGCTCCAGGCGACGCGAAATTTCAACTCGAGCAGAAAATTCGCCTAACGCGTTCTCGTGCAAGCCAATCAGCGAAGAGCTTATTGGCATGTCTGGTTCGCGCTGGAACAGTAAAGCCCCGCCCTTCTTTGATTTGATTGGCCACCTAAATCATTCTGACATTGATGAGTGCTATCTGGAGTTTATTTTTATTTATTTTTTTATCATAAATAAATATTGAATTTGGCAGGGATATTTTTCTGCGTGAGAAAATGGTTGTGTGGCGTGAGAGCGTGAGAATAGTGTCAATTGCGTGACATTTTTGTTGTAAAACAGCTGTCAAATAATAAATGTTTTCATACTTACCTCACACTCTTTCACTGTTAAAAAATGCCGTGGTGTCGCGCTGGAACACTAAAGCCCCGCCCTTCTTTGATTTGATTGGCCACCTAAATCATTCTGACATTGATGAGTGCTATCTGGAGTTTATTTTTATTTATTTTTTTATCATAAATAAATATTGAATTTGGCAGGGATATTTTTCTGCGTGAGAAAATGGTTGTGTAGCGTGAGAGCGTGAGAATAGTGTCAATTGCGTGAGTCTCACGCTGAATGCGTGAGAGTTGGCAGCCCTGATGTTCATACCTTAATGCAGTGGTTCTCAACCCGCACGCGGCCCGTCATGAATTCAAATGCGGCCCACCATGCTGAACACAATTTTAAAAAATACTTTCAGTTTTACAATTCATTTTAGTTTTTACATTAATTAAAAAAATTACTAAAGAAATATAAGCTATAGCCTAATGTTTTTATGTAAAATAATTTTGTATTTCATATATTATTTTCAGACATGAGCAGTAGGCCTACTCACACAGCCTAATTAACGTTACGCATTTAAAGTAACGACCAAGTGGCCAGCGGCAGACAGTGAGCATATGCTTGATCAATTTAGCCTTCTCAAATCATCACGACTTGACTAAAATAAAATCTATAGATATAAAACATTTCAAGCATATAACAATGTTTAAACGTTAAACCTAGATAAATGTGCATTATTTTTCAGTGGATACACCGTCATTTTTGCTCATAAAGGTAAGAGTAAACATCATTCGTAACTGTAAAGGGTCTACTTTTATTCGTGTGCACTCACAATATCAACAAAACGTTGTGCTTTATAAAATCAAACATGATGCGCTTTCTGCCGTCTCTTCTTCAACAGGAGCGCTTCACAAAAATGAACCGAAACTCAGCGAATACATGCCTCACAGACATGATAAATATATCTATAGAAAACTTTCAATTACTACTTAACGAAATAAAACAAATCAAAAGCAAAAACTCTTTCATTATGATCATAATCCATAAAGATGCACTACTCTCTAAAGGCGTGTCTAATGAAGAGATGGCGAGTCAGGATCGACAACTTCATCCTTGCGACATCGACTCAGAAAACACTAGTTTATTAGTAAATAATTAAAATATCTCCTTACTGTTTCCCCTGACACATTTATGGTAATAACTTTTGCCGGTGCTTTGCGGCAAGCTTAAGCCTATTGCGTGCATTTGAAGGCAGAACTCTCCAGCTGCGCTGACGGCACGCACCATACTGCTGCTGCTGCGGGACACTAAACACCGTCGAGCCGCTCTTCACAGTCTCGGTAGCACGGGCTCGTGTTGTTCCACCAGCGCGGCAATCTTTTTTCATCACTAATTGTCTAAAATATAAAAATAAGGAGAAGCCTAAAACAGGCTCGAGGCCCTGCCCGTGTCTGAACTATGACGTGAAAATTGTCCTGAAGCCCGGTCCGAGAGGCGTAAAAAAGTCGGGGCCCGTCGGGCCCGGGCTGAAATGCAGGGCTCTAGTTCTGATCTAACATACAAAAAACGATTTGACTGAAAATGTATCAGAAGAGATGAAAGAAAGATAGTGGTCATCTACGCAATTCGGAAAAAGAGGCGGCTTTTCTGCATTAGGTATGTTTTTTCTTTTCTTTCTTTTTTTTACTCTTTGTACAGCAGTTATTGTTCATTCTAAATAATTTTTTAAATGTAGAATATGTGTTACATAAATACATGAAATGTAGAACATATAAAAAAGTGCTCGTGGCTCGTCTGTGGGTGCCCCCCCACGCATAAAAGTGAAACTCCGCCTATGATAGTGCTGTTACTCCTTTCGAGCCGAAGTTCACAAAATTGGGTGTTATTTATGGGGAGTAGAATTATTTATTTATTTCAATGAATGTAATCGATTGGATATCATAATATTCAGGCTATAATATTATAAATCAGGTTGGTCTGTATTGCTGATGTAATATGTAAATGATATGCGTGTGGGCCCGCGAGTCTTGCACTTGGACCATAGTGCGGCCCGGTGGAAAAAACGGTTGAGAACCACTGCCTTAATGGTAAGTTGTGAACGTTATTAGCACATATTATTGTGAGTTGGGATGTGGTGGCATTCCTATTTTAGAGAGCATTTTAACTGCATAAACATCAGTGTAGTGCAGAGAATGAGTCACGATGAACTAAAAATGACAACTCTGTTTTTGAGTTTTATATTACGTTTATCTCTCTAGATTCTCTCTTTAGGTTTTCACATTTTTTTAGCCAATAACTCGCGACACAACCAGTCCCTCGCGAGGGATAGCACGTCAGTTGGTTTCATTTTTGGGGACGATTTTAAACTCCTGCAGAAATGAAACCACTCGATGGTTTAAATATATGAGTTTTAAATATGATTTTATGTTCAGTTATGTGACAAGACAATGGCCAAACGATGTTCGACCTCTCATTGAGAGAGAGGAAAATAGAGATTTGGCGCCCTCTTCTGCTAAAATTGGAGAACGTCAAAGACCCGATCTGAGGTAAGTTAGTTGAAAGGGAAAACGATATTTCTGTAAAACTAGGAGTTGAGCCATCAGGGTATAAGGTATAAGTAGGCTCACAAAAGTGTCTGTTACATATTTATGATATTATAAATTCAAATGTTTTCCTTCTTGACTTTAGGCTTCATTTGTCCGTGTTCTTTACGGTGTGAATTCACGCACAGGCAAAACGATTCATGTCTTGTGTTTTATTGGGCCTAGTTACTGTTTAACATCTCCACCCAACTTTCAGTTTGTTTAGTAAATCGATCTAATGAGGCTCCCCCAAAACCACCAAAAGTATTATCCAATGTGAGGATTTTGACATGTCAAACACTTCATTTGCTCTCTATAAAAGCATAAGTATCATATTTATTAGCATATTTTTTTGACACAGGGCGTTTGGGTTTTGGTGGATTAATGCAAATCGTTGTTGGACGTGGAGAAGGTAAGAGCAGATAGCTTTGAGTTGCAGTCATTGAATTGTGGGCCAGTTAAAGAAGAAGAAAAAAAATCCGTTAAAACGTTCCTACCTTTTACCTGGCTATGTAGTCTTAAAGAAGTCCTTGCTACAACATTTTGACGGTAACGTTAAAGAAAGTATCGCTCGTGCAGTTGTGACGTCAGCATTCCTTAAATTAGGTTAGTCTCGAATTGTGTGTTTTATTATTATTATTATTTTTCGTATTGACAAATATAAATGTATAGGTGTTTCATATAGAAAACAGTCAGGATTTGTGTGTTTTCTGATATTTTATGTCGTGAAAACAAATAAGCAGTGCTTATTATACTATTATATTTCGTATTTTATAGCCAATATTGCTGAAAGAATGTTTTAAAATATTTATTTTGTCATTTACATTGTCAGAATTATATTTACTTTGTTAATACTTTAAAAGGTCGCCTTTTACATTAAAAATATGCCTTAATATAATTTAGGTCAGATCGTAGTTGTAGAAGTGACATTAATGGACTCTTTTATGTAAAACTGAATATACTGCCTTGATACTGTGAGTTTTTCACAGTCATGGGGTGATATTTTACTTTCAAACAATTCTAGTTTGATCTTGAATTTATTTTACTGTTGAAGTGGTATGATAGATCAACTAGCTAGTAATGTAGGGAGTATTATGCAATGTGATTTTAAGTACAGTATACTCATCTTTCTGCATTGGAGCTGATATTGAGGTGTAATGCTATTGAAAATAGAGAACATGAAATAGATGGCCTCGTCTAAACTCTTATCACGTGAGCATTTGAGCACTTCCTCATTTAAAACATTGTTTGTTGAAGTTAAAGTGAAGTTAAAATGTAACATATGTGATGTGGCCTCAGAGTATTCCTGTGCTTACTGAATCTAAGCTCAATCTATTTAATATTTATTTTAGTTTTATATTTTGTTGTCTTTCTTTCTTTTTTGTTATGGTCACTGCTTGTACAGCAGTGGTGCTATTCTGTTAGACTTTCTAGTCGATTAAATTGCACCACAAGACAATATAATGTACAGAAAACAGAGTAGCCTACTTGTAAAACCGCAGATTTTTAAAAATCGGACAAATTCTTAAAGAAACCAAATATTTGTTTCCTTTATGGCTTTGCACGTGCATTGTACAGGACTGACAGCACTGCAGTAATATGTCTTATTTGTGTTTTTATTTATTTTTTAAAACTCTTAAAAAGATAGTTTACCCTCATGCCATTCCAAACCAGTATGCATTTCTTTGTTCTGGGGTCAAAAAAAAAGAAAAGAAAGAAAATAGACCCGATTGATGTTCATTGTATGGCCCAAAAAAAAGGCAATTTATTAGTGAATATTGTTTCAAAGTAATTTTTTTTTCTGTGTGTAAATGTAGAGCCTCTACTTTTTTGTTCCACAGAAAAGAAGAAAGTAATATACACAAAAATCGGTATAAGATTTACTTTTAAAAAATATTTACTAAGAAATTGCTAGTAAATTTCACAATGAATTACAAAGAAATGGCAAGTAACACACTGAATTAAATGTGAAATTTAGAAGTAGAAAGACTAAAATTATAATTTTTGTAAAACCTTTTTTTTTTTTTACATCTTTGAAAAATCTTTACATTGCAGGTTTGGAAGGAAATGAGGGTGAATAAATAAACTCTTCAAGAAAAATGGCTCATCAATGACTCATAGATTCAAAATATTACATTCAAATAATTCTTCTAATTTAAATAAATGTTAACATACAAAACAGAATTTGTGTCAGACGAATGCAAATTATGTCTATAATACTTTGATAATTGCAACAGAATTCTGGAACTGCTGTATAGCTTACCTCGTTTTAAATATTAATTTTTGTAAATTTATTTGACCAATTAAAAAAAACACCACTGATTTACAGTACAACAGTTTTGGGTTTTGGGACGGTGCATTACTTTGTCATTTTGCCTGAGAATAGGGCCTGTTGGTTTGGCTGCACCAATAAAACCTTGTATTACTTTCTAGAACGAATACTGTTATCTCTTCATCCTTCTGATAAGTATAGGATAAGGTGAGAAGATAAGTTTTGTTCAAGGAGGTGAGGAGTCTTGGCCAAAGCTCCTCCCTTGTCTTAGAAAATGACAAATCAGCATTCTGAAGAAATGGTCAACCTAAGGCTGCCCTCAGTTCTCTCTCCAAGAGACACTGTCCCGGGACGACTTTAAGTAGAGATAGCTAGGCAGGGATGAAGTTTTCACCAACTCCTCTTCCTAAATCCTTGTTAGACATGGATGTAGCCAATTACTGCGAGGGACTGGACCCGACCTATAGCACATTGGGCTTTGAGAATGCAGAAGTGCTTTATTGTGGTGGTGAGTGTTTTGTCCAAAATATGTGTTTTTAAATGTTGCAGATGGGGTAGATGCTGCTGCTTGTACTAGTAAACAGATGCTCATTCTGCTTGAAGTCTGTGTTCACTATAGTGTTGTTATTAAAATGCTAATTGAATTAATGTCAGTTCAGAGATTCTAACTGATGTTCTGCATGTGTTGTATTTTTATCTGTTTGTTTTATTATGTAAAGTGCCTTGAGAAGCTGCTTTAAAGGCGCTATATAAAAATAAAGATTATTTTTATTGATGTGGGTGTTAATTAGTTAGTATGACTGTCTCAGACGTGTCTGCAGGGGACGGATGCCATGTCATGGCTGGTTTAAAAGCTGTCTGAACTGTCTGGAATGATTCGTCCCAGCAGAATCATTTACCTCAGCCTAAAGGAGATCATTGTTAGCTAACTACTTTGAAAGTCTTTCCATTCGGTTTAAAATTCAACAGAGCGGGTTTCGCTCAAATCCTGAGAAAAGAGTTCTGAGTCTCAGGATTAGAGACTGGGATCTCCATGGGTTCATGGGTTGGGAAAGTAGGAAAAAATGGGGTATGTTTAGGTGTAAATTCTTAATATTTTATACAACTGCAAAGTTAATTCAAAGCAATACAAGAGCAGCAATGAACTCCTGAATACCAGAGGAGACATTTTGAGGCGTAAAAAGGATGTTTGTCCTGTGATGTTATTTTGTATTTTTATACATTAAATAAAGGGACAGTCAACCTGGAGCACTGTGGGAAATGTGTTGCTCAAAGGTACATTGTGGATAGGGCAACTCTTTTAGACCCAATTACATCACCACAATCTGATGTGATTTATCCACTTTGGTTCTCCATTAACCTAATGCTGGATTAAAATTGCTGAAGAGATTTCCCAGTTATCTTTACAGTTCTTTACAGTACATCGAAACACAGAGATAGAGAAAGGCCATAAAATAACTGGAATACAAACCAATTAAAAGTAAATGCATAACCTTAGGCATGCAGATGGACAGCTAGACAAAAATTCTTTAGATGAACTTAATTCAGTTTGATTTTCTGAAAATAATCAGTAAACTTTACCCAAATACATTATGTAGTGGAAATGGAATTGAGTAAACCCAATAAAATTAGATCTGTCATACTGACTAGACTGAATCTGCTGCAGTTAAATTCTAACTAGTAGTAGTACGGAAAAAAATTAACCTAATGTGCTTTGTGTGGTAACAAATACATTAATCGATTCCAATATATATGCAAATTAATAAAATAAAATATTTTACAAATTTAAATGGATTGCACACAGTGAAATTAAGTTATGACCAAAAAAAATCAAGCATTTTGTTGCATTAACTAATTTTAATTGAGTGAGTAATAAGCAAAATTCATATTTTGAGTTTATGCTTGCAAGCAAATGTTTGCATACATTTAATATTGTAGGAAAGTGTTTGGATGGACCAGTTGTTGTGTTTGGCTAATTTGTATGCAAATCTTTGCATTCTTTAGCTTTCTTGTGCTTAAAGGGATAGTGCACCCACAAATTAATATTCTGTCATCATTTACTCACTTTCATATCATTCCAAAACATACATTACTGTATTCTGTGAAACACAAAAGAAGATATTTTGAGAAATGTCTCAAATGTTTTTTGTCCATGTTGTCAATGGTAACTAAAACTGTTTGGCTACCAATATTTTTCCAAATATTTGCAGAAGAAAATCATGAAAGACATACAGGTTTGGAACAACATGATAGAGAGTAAACAATGATAGAATTTTCCTTTTTTGGTGAACAATTTCTTTAAAGGGGCCATCGGATGCCCATTTGATATAAGTTGATATGATTCTTTAGGGTCTTAATGAAAAGTCTATAACATACTTTGGTTAAAATTTCTCAATGGTAGTGTAAAAAACACCCTTTTTACCCTGTCAAAATGAGCTCTGTTTTTAGCAAGCAATTCTAGTCCATGTTGCTTTAAATGCTAATGAGATCTGCTCACACCGCCCCTCTCTTCTGTGGGTGACAGCAGTACTGTTTACTTTAGCCGCGAAACTGGCTAACTAGCACATATTAGGAAAAACGATTTGCACAGATTCATAAAAAACGAATGATTCACGCAAACATAGATGCATTTAGGCAGATCGGGGATCAGCGCATTCCCTTCAAAACGAAAGTAACGTTAATCCTCTGCATCTTCAGCGGCTCAGATGTCAGGAGTAAATGACGACTGCTATGTTCATTATTACATCCAGCAACAAAACACCTCAATCGCTTAATAATCTGAGACATTCTTGTCTTCCCTGCACCGGAGTAGACACAATGGTGGACTGATGACGGCTCACTCAGGGCAGGTCTAAGGTAAGACGGCCTTGTCAATCAACTATTGTGGGAGGGGCCTGTGCAGAACTACGTCATTCTGACAGGAATCTCAGAACAGCCTGATTTGAGAAAGAGGATTTTAAAACTGGGTGGATTTTTATCATTATAGGATGGATGTTTACACACATTTCCAACACACGTTTATGTTCAAACAACAACAAAAGTGAATTTTGCATCTGATGGCCCCTTTAACTAAACCCATAAAGCAATTGTTTGCCAACTGATTTTTGTTTTGCTTTTAAGTTCTGTATCACCTTACTCTGAAACTAAATACTTCAAAACATACTCTGCAGATGTACGAAAGCCGACCAGATGAAATTGCTCTCTGCAACCACACGTGCCCTTTGAGTTCAAATTATGTTTTATTCTGAAATGAGAAGGAATCACTTTGGGAATATAATGAATCAGAAGAGATTGCTTTCAACCCACATTAACATTTATCCATAAGATGTCAATCTCCATTGAATATCTATCTATGCGATAAAACAGAGGCTAATCCTAATTAAGTCTGTCCTACAACAGCGGGAGGCTCCAATCAGTCTCAGTGCATAAAAGGCTAAAGTCCCCTGCTGTATTTCTTTTCTTGAAATGTTATGATTTTGGATGCACAAAGGAATGATTGATTTTTTTCATCCTTGTCTATATGAACAGAAGGGTGCCACTCTCTGTTGCATTAGAAGGTCTTTTAGGATGAGCATCCTTTGTTCACTTATGCAGAACTCTTCCTCATTCTCCTCGTTAACTGTTATCATTGAGAGACTGAGTAAAAAGGCCGAGATTTGATAGACGCATCGTGCTGTTGCTTTATGAGACGGCTCTTTGTTTGTTAGCCTAACTTGAATTAGCATGCTTAGCTTAGCATCTAGAAGCTTAGCAGCAGTAGATTCCCACTATTTAACATTCTGGATGTACAATGGGCGTGATTCTCTATTTTAAATGATCTAAAACCTTTTATGAATGAGCCACCCAAGCGATTCATCAAGCCCTCACTTGACTGAACTGTTGTTGCAACTCAGACCAAAGTGTTCAGGTGGCAGTAACATTATGTGTGATGATCCAAGTCTTGACTGTCCATGTTGTTTTTCACAGAAAACATGCCGACAGAGCTCAACATCAGTCAAGGAGAAAATGGCGTGAGCTCCAACTGTGCAATCTGTGGCGATAAAGCCACAGGTAAACATTATGGCGCCTCCAGCTGTGATGGCTGCAAAGGCTTCTTCCGCCGGAGCATCAGGAAGAGTCACGTCTACTCCTGCAGGTACCTCACACTTATCCAACTGAGATGTTTACGTTATAAAATGAATATTGTGTATTGATAATCCTTTTTATGTGGTAAAGAAAATGTGTTTAGTGTTATTTTAGTGCTATTTATATATTATTATAATATTTATTAATGGTTATATTTTGTTTATATATATTTAATGATATTTTATTTTAATTTTAGTTTTAGTATTAGTTTTTTAATTTATTTAATAATTAACTTTATTAGTTTACTTTTTATTTCAGTTTTAGTAATTTTAGTACTTGAACTTAATTTGTGAGTTATCAGTTTCACGACAGAGTACATCATATCTTTTTAATGAATCAATCAAAAAAACTCATGAATCAGTCTCGAACTTGTGAGTTATCAATTTGAATTGGTGTAATTAATCAGTATTTGACCAATTTGATGAACCATAAGCCATAACTTTTGTCAAGTCCATATAAAATTTACAGAAAAAATCATTAAAGAAGCAATTAAGGAACTGGATTCGTTTAGTGAAATTAAAATCAGAACCAGATACATTCAATTCAGTTCTAATTACAAAAAATTCACCAAAAATTTGAATAGATCTATTGTTGATATGCTAATATGGTCCTTATAAGGATCCATTTTTTTTGTTTGTTTAACTTTTGGGCAGGTTTAATCGTCAATGTGTTGTTGATAAAGACAAAAGGAACCAGTGCCGTTTCTGCAGACTTCACAAATGCTTTCGAGCTGGAATGAAGAAAGAAGGTAAACATTTTATATGCATACTTTTCCCCCACAAATACTCCCTTTTCCCACAGTTTCAAACAGATAGCTCATGGAGTAACAGGGAAGAGGGAACTCAAGAGAGTAAAATGGATGATGCCATAAAACTTGCCCTGATTACACAAGGATGTTTAGTTTATTGGATGTACAACCTTGGCTTAGACTTTTATGATGGGCGATCATGTGCTCTCCACCTCACTTTCCGTGCGTAAACGTTGTTCAGGACTGCGGTCAGTTAAAGTTTTACCTCTAGCTTAGGCAGGGTTTTGCATGGCAGTCATGTATTATTTTTTAATTTGCTCACTATTGTTTCCTAAAAAATGCTTAAACCAGCCTTAGATGGTTTACCAGTCTTAGCTGGTTTAAGCTGGTTTACCTGGGTGACGAAGCTGGTGTTCATTAGACTGAAAACTGGTCTTCCAGTCAAAAGTTTAGATATGAGAAAAATCACACATTTCCATTTTGATAAAGAAAAGTATTTTAAAAATATTCAAAAATAAAAATTGTAATTAAAAACTTTTAAAAGTAATGCAAAATACAGTAACATGGCCAGTAGGAAATATTTATGGCTTGTAAATTTTTCCAATGCATTCATCACTGGCAGGTGTGTCTGGGTTTTACGTTTAATGACGTTAAAATACAATGAATGCTTTGAATTGATTACAATGAATGCTTCGTTTTGCCAATATCTTGGCAATGTGTGAGATTTTCTGTAAATAAACTTGAGAAACACACCCATCATCTTGGCTAATCAGTAATTACTCTTAACTGTTATTAGCTCACTAATCGGCAAAATTGTTTGTGCTTGTTTGCAGCCGTGCAAAATGAGCGGGACCGGATCAGCTCGAGGAGGAACTTACAGGACTCACATGACCTGCCACCAATCACAGCCCTGGCTCATGCTGAAGCTCTCTCGCAGCAGGTAAGCTGTCCTATCAAGGTTAATCGAAATGCTCTGTCTGTCTCTCGCTCTCTCTCTCTCTCTCTCTCTCTCTCTCTCTCACACACACACACACACCCACACACAAAGAAAGAGAGTATCAGCAGAAAAGGGCAGATACACGGAATAAAAAACATGCATATAGTTGTGGTATCTGCAGCAGTAACATTTATTGCTTTTGAGCAATAAATCATTTCTATGATTGTCAATTAAAGCAAAGGTGTATGGTTTTAATGCATTATGCTAGAGATAAATAGTCACCAAAGACAAAAATTAACCAACAGGGCTGATAAAAGAAGGAAGAGACGTTTCATTGCAGTAACTCTGATGAAGTTCTGCTCAGTAGTTATTAATGACAGTGAGAGATAAATAACAACTGAGCGCTGCTTTCTTTATGCATCAGTCTGTGTCATCAACATTTCTAATTATCTGCATGAGTACCTGCATGAATCTATTCTGAGAGAGAGGTAACAGCCTGTGTGAAAGCATTTTTAGAGGACATGGTAAATTCGGTTCTTCTCTGGTTTGTCTCCCAGCAGATCAATGCCACCAGCCAAATGGGCCCTGCTGATGCTTCAGAGAAAAAATCAGCCACTATCAGTGACGTCTGTGAATCTATGAAGCAACAGCTGCTTGTTCTGGTAGAGTGGGCTAAATACATCCCGGCCTTCGGCGAATTGCCACTTGATGACCAGGTAATGGCTGTTGGAAAGCAACACTGGCAGTGCTAATTGGGGATGCCCTTGGGTTAAATTGCAGGGCCGTTCACTGAAGCTCAATATTTGCTATTCACATGGCTGACTCAGTTTAGCCTCCATTTAGCACGCTGTCTGTGTTGCTCTAAATTTCAGATTTCCCCCCTTGCATTTATTGTTATTGAACATGCAGAACATGCAAATTATAAAAAAATATAATTTACTCCATGTATGTTAGATTTGAGGTCTTTAGTAATACACTAGCATACTATATACAGTAAAAGTTGGCAAAATAGTTTTTGGCATTGTTTTTTTATGCATTTAAAATTTTGCAGTCTTTTTCTTCTGGGCCAAAATTAATTACTCATTTTGCATTATACTGAGTTTTTATTTTTATTTTTGGACACATGCAGTCAACCAATAAGGGCACCTGCTGGTAGAGACTGTAACTACACGGTGTTTATAAAAATCAACCTTTTCTAATTCCAATTAAAATGTTCTGAGAACATGAAATTAAATGATTGATGATGAAGACTGGAGTAATGGCTTCTGAAAATTCAGCTTAGCCTTCACAGGACTAAATAACATTTAAAAATATGTATTAAAATAGAAATAACATTTACAATATTACTTTTTTTACTGTATTTTTGATAAATACAGCCTTGGTGTGCATTAGAGACTTCTTTCGAAAACATGAAAAAATCTTACCAACCTCAAACATTTTTTTTATATTTCATTATAGTATATAGCAGATATTCGTTTCATTGTGGTTTACAGAAACATGTTAAACCAGGCCTCGTTTTTCTTCCAGGTTAGTTTATTACGAGCTCATGCTGGGGAGCATCTTTTGCTTGGTGTGGCTAAGAGGTCAATGTCATACAAAGATCTCTTGCTTCTAGGTAACTTCTAATAGTTATTTTCACCATTCAACATAATTATACTGTAGATAGACAGATTTCCATTTTCCGTGCAGGAAATGGCTGCGTTGTCCATCGAAATTGCCCTGAGCCGGAAATAGGTCGTGTATCTAACCGAGTCTTGGATGAACTGGTTCTTCCCTTCCAGGACATCCAAATTGACAACAATGAATATGCAGCTCTAAAGGCCATTGTGTTCTTCGACCCTGGTATAACGAATGAAACAGAGCATTAATTTATCACCCAGTATCAATCATGAAACACAGCCGTACATGTTACCATCTGTGTTTTTTAACTTCCAGACGCCAAAAGCTTAAGAGACCCCTCAAAGATCAAGGCAATGCGCTATCAGGTTCAAATGAGTCTGGAAGACTACATTAATGACCGGCAGTATGACTCGCGTGGGCGATTCGGGGAGCTTTTGCTGCTGCTTCCTACTCTGCAAAGCATAACCTGGCAGATGATTGAGCAGCTACAGTTTATCAAGCTTTTCGGTCTTGCCAAGATAGATAACCTGCTGCAGGAGATGCTTCTTGGGGGTGAGTATGAGGTGAAACATTCAATTGCAGGGACTTTTGGAGCCGAAAAATGCTTCATGAACATTTTTTAATCTAGGTGAAAGCAGGGACTTTATTCGGAAACAAGTCTGCTTAATCTTTCTCTAATAATACTGCATATTATACTGCAATATGATGTAAAATGATGAGGCAAAATGATGCATTTGCTGGATTAGTATACCATATTAAGACATTAATTCTGGAGCAGCTTTACTTGACTAGGGTAGACTTGTGCATGCTAAGGCTAACATCACTATTATCTGCCTCAGTCTAATCAACAACCAGTGGATAGAACCAAGTGATATAACGTATTTTTGTTGGCCAAGCTGAAAGTTAGCATCACTCTGGTTGTCTTGATAAAAAACAATGAAGTTTACCACTGGCTTTTGGATTATTATAGAAAATAAGCTCTGTGACCAACAAAGGTTTATGATTCTTACACATTTTGTTCCTCGTGATAATCTTCACAAATGAACACAGCTGAATTTTGAAGCCTAAATCGACAGAAATAAAAAGCTAAACTTAGGCTATAAACTACACGTTTGCATGACGTCAATGTAACCACAATTAAGCTTCCGACAACTCTTTCAGTATTTATTTATTTATTTTATTTATTTAGTCATTTAGCAGATGCTTTTATCCAAAGCGACTTACAAATGAGGACAACAGAAGCAATCAATTGTAGTATTAAAACAACTAAAAACAGATCCAAAACTAAAAGCTAAAACTTTATAAATACTACCTATACACATTTTTAAAATAAAGAAATTAAATAAAAATGACAAATGCATACAACAAAATTTAAAAACTTAACATTTAAATGAAAAACAAAAGATAAAGCTAAAAACAATTCAAAATATTAAAGAACAAAAGGTATAAGAGTATAATAATGATTCTAACATAACACTAAGCCAAACACCAAAAAAACAACTACATGTACAGTAAGTCTATGTACAACCATACACACACACACACACATACACACACACACACATATATATATAAATATATATATAGAATTTTGTGTAGGGAAATTCTGCATTAATCCACCTCCGCGATTTATTAATTTGTTTATTTTTGCAGGTCTAACCACAGAGCAACCTCACTTACATCACAATGGTCACCCTCAGGTTCCAATAATGGGCCAGACCATAGTCATTAGCTCCATCCCAGGACCTGCACACTCACAGCAGATGGGTAAGACATAGCCTTTTATTTATCTGTTCCTAAATATAGTCAGTGGTTTAAAAATCAGACATTGGACATTGCTGAGAAATAAAAATGAATCAGTGAAGTGGTTTAGGTTAAGTTTTAGTTAATGATAATAACCCTTACTTAAATAATTTGCTCATTATATTCCAAGCTACACAAAGTGAATTTTATAGCTTTTTATAGATTTGTATAGCTTTTGCTTCTGTTTCGGTTTCTTCAGCTTCCCCAGATACCCCCATTCCATCTCCCACTTCAATACAGGACCAGGAGGCCTACCAGCCCCCCGGCAGCCCGGCTCTCCTGCTCCCGCCACAGCCCATGCCAAACAGACCTTCTCCTGAGCCCCCCCTTTGAGTCTCCTCTCTGCTGCAGGCCCTGTATGTTTGTATATGTGTACATTTTGTGAGTTATGCCCTTCCCCACATCCAGCACAACATATTTATCTGATCGAAAGGGAACTTTTCAAACAAATTCCAAATTTATTATAAAGTGGATCACCACTAATTGAAAAATGTATTTCATTAAAGCATCTGTCATGCTGGCAGACCTGGGTTTCTTCTTGTATCCGCCTGGTAACCTAGTAAATGTAGACAATATTTGTTTGTTAATAACAAATTATTGTCAGTTACAAGAGACTTATCAACATTTTTGTATTAATAAAAAGTCAAGATATAATTTATTAACAAAATTATACTATGCAACTCTAAAGAAATGTGAATTTTTGTTTGAAAATGTGCTCTTAAACACAATAAATAAATGCTCTTAGTGCCTGAGTTGCTTTTTTTAAATGTATGGATTCATTTGTGTTGTGTATTTATAACCTTTTACGACTTAAACTATATATATATATATATATATATATATATATATATATACTGTATATATTGCAAGATAAATGTAACTCATGCTGTGCTCAAAGTGCTACTTTTAGGAAAGCATTAACAGTAAAACAAGTTTATTCAACAGGGGGTCTGCAGTAGTTCTAGCAATTATAGTTTGATATATTATTTTGTGAAGAAGGAAGAAAAAAATATTTAAATAATAAATAATAAAATTAATGATAATAAAAAAGCTAAAGTAAAGAAGCTTATGCTTTGCTGAAAGTTCATTATACCTCTATAATGTCACTTGCATTACAACCAGAAGGTCATACGTATCCTGGCAAATGTCAATGGACCCCGCATGCAAGGGCAACAGTACATTCATACAGGTCACTCATGTGGCAGCCATATAAATATGAAGCATAAAAAGACAGATGGGACCTAATGCTTATAGACTACATCCCTTTTTGCAACTTTTGTCAGTTTTCTAAAGCAAACCCTGAAAGTGAAAAGCCACTGTGAGCTATATATGGAACGTATGCAATTATAACAAAACGATGAGGCTGAGATGGGAAAGCAGATGATCATAACATCTCATCTGAGCTCGGTGAAACGGTGCTGCTCTCTGACATATTGTGAGTCTCTGCCACCTCATCACCTCCAAAAGAGAGACAGACAGACGGAGAAAGAGCAAGAACAGTAGGCTCATTCGAAAACACATCAAATCAGGCTATTTTCTGCATCTAAACAACAGCATTTGGTGCAGGTGAAGTCCATGTTGTCAATACCACGGCGTTCATGGGAAGCTGTAATAAGTTTTGGAGTGTGCCCTGTTTGGATGGTTTTCCAGAAAGCAATCTGATATCTCTAGGTGTAAGTGCACAAGGCCTGGGGGGCAGATGAGTCGGATGATGCCGTCAATAGTAGCTGTCTATTATACTGCGGGAGAGCTTGGAGGAAGTGGAAATGGAGAGTGAGCAAGGTAAGATAAACATTGCAAAACCCTCCAATCAACTCCATAATGGAGTGGCAGCTCACGTGGGGTTAAACGGCAAGCTTGATGGGAGAAGGCTGAGCATCCAGTGATCCTTAATGAACAAGTGCACAAGGCTGAATGCACTTATTTGTATACAAAACATTATCTTGGTATTCAAGGCACACATCTCATCTGAAGCGTTCAGCTTTGTGTGACGGTGTAGTATTAAAGCTCGGTAAGCCTCCTCTGAGCAATGTGGAGTGGATGGAATAAGCATAGGCCTATCTGTTCTTCAACTTTCTGGTGAAGGAAACTCTCACACACTACACCTTGACATTCATGACAGCGAGGATACTAAAGTGATTGTAATCCACATCGCCGACAAGCTGAATAGGAGGAATTTTCCTCCCTTTTCTGGTGTAGAACCGTCATTTGTTTGCATATGAATGATATCTTTATTTCAGACTCAAAAAGGGCCATATAAAATAAAAAAGCATACAAAAACAACATACAACATGGATAACAACAACAAATAGCAAGAAAATAATTTACATCTAATGTCCATATAAGCACTTTCTCCAGTGCCTCCAAAGTGCAGAGGTGTACCTAACAGTACTCTTCTTCAAGTTTCTGATACCAGCACATAACACAGGCACCTGATTCTGAACAAAAAGCTGACTGGCACTTGTACACCGAGGGACTTTTAATAAAAGTCACAATGCATCATTATATGCAACCTGCAACTTGTTAAATTTAGCTTTACTGTAACTGCACCACAAGTGGGCAGTATACAGTGGCGTGCAATAGGCTTTAAACAAAGCTATTTTGGCATCATCAGTACACATGCTAAATTTACGAACAAGCATGTTAACTTGTGCATACAATTTACAATACTGTCTCTGAATGTCTTCATCGTCACAAAGGTCACTTCTAATGATGTGACCAAGATATTTGACCTTATTCACCACAGATAACTCCTACCATGTCTAACCCCATTTGTCACTAAAAAAGGCTCTGATATTGTCGTGCCCCATCTAACCTGCATTGTTTGGTGTGTATACCAAAAATGCAGAACCCGTACTAGGTATGGGGGAACCCCTCGCTGCTGTAATTTTACAAATAGCTTTCCATGATTAATGCGGTCAAAGGCTTTAGAGGCATCTAAAAAGCACAGACACATTGTGGAGTTCTGCCTTCTGTACTTACTCACAGCCTCTTTCAATGCATAGATACACATATCAGTCCCATGCTTACTTTTAAAACCAAATTGCTCATCATTGGTAATAACATATTGCTGAAATCGATCCAGTAATATTATCTCTAATACCTTAGACATCACGCTGGCTAAGGCAATAGGCCTATAGTTTTCTGTGCTAGATATTTTCCCTGTTTTGTCTTTAATTACAGGTACCAGCAAAACAGAAAGCATAGAACTGGGCAATGTGCCATGAATCAACATTCCAGTAAAACACAAGGCCAATAAAACAACAAGTCTGTGACTAGCAAATTTCAAATGCTCTGCTGTGATCTGATCTAGGCCACAAGATTTATTCAGAACTAATTTTCCTATAGCAGAAGCTACTTCCTCAGCCTTGATAACCTCATTATTAAAAGACACATTCCCAATAATGAAATCGTCACTTTTAACACAATTGAATAGGTCACTATAATGCTTTCTCCAAAGACCTGCAATGTTTTCATATCCAGTAACCCCTTCAACACTAGAGGGCAGAGGAATTTTACTAGCATTCATGACTTTAACTTCTTTCCAGAAATCTTGTATATCATTTTGTAATAATTTCTTAGCCAAAGAATTAGCTCTGAGAGTATGTTCGCTCCTTTTTATGAAGCG